AGAATGACCTGCAAGGAAGTTTAGCTGTGAAATAATCAGGGGTTTACCTGTGAAATAATCAGAGGTAACTTTGTCATGAACGAAGCAGCGGCAGCACCACCAGGATATGCTGAGGATAACAGATGGCAAAGGTTTTCCTCCTGAAAAGCCACACATATCTTTTGACAGTACTGTGACATGGAAAGTATAGGTCACCACTATGATAAGCCTGGTCATCCCCCAGCCATGAGTCTACAAGTCCCCAGTGGTGGAGCAGGCAGAAGAAGATGTTTGAATCTCAATGGCTGCAAAGGCAGATGAAAGCTGCAGTGGAACAAGATTCCCAGTTGTCTTGATCTCCTTGCCATTGGATCAAGGTCCTGCTTTGTGAAGAGCCATGTGGAAGTTGATGTGCAGCAGCTTCTCCACAATAAAAGAAATCATGCAAAGGTGTCTTTTATGACAACAGCTTTTCAAGCACATTCCTCAAGCTCTCAAGCCCCTTGGCAACCAGCTAATGGCGACGGGAACAGGATTGTGAGGTCTGGAACTTCTAGTCATGAATGGACACAAAGGCAGCAGTTACAAGAGGGTTGTTTAGCACTTGGATGTGGCAGGAGTGTAATTTGACAGCTGTAACTGTGACTGAGTAGGCCTCTTGAGGATCTGCTTTGCTGACTGCACATGGGGAGGGGACTGGAAGAGGGGCCCTAAAAATAGCCTGTCTGATACAGTATTTTGTTTTCCTTCTTGACTGGATAACTGTGTCCAGTAGGATCAGTTTTTCTGTGGTCAAAAATACCCACAAAGACACACCATTGTTTTCAAGACCTGGAACATCAGGACCCTCTTGGACAACCCTAACAGTGAACATCCAGAGTGCTGCACTGTAATCATGGCCCAAGAACTCAGGTGGCACAATATTGATGTAGCTGCACTGAGTGAGACTAGGCGAGCAAGAGATGGGCAGCTCAAGGAACATAAAGGCATACCAGCTCAAAGAACATACCTTCTTCTGAAAGGGTAAACAGGAAAAATAACTTTGACTTCATGGAATTGGTTTTGCCATTAAGTATGAACTCATAAACCAACTCAACGAGTTCCCAATTGGAATTAAAGTGTGCCTCATGACTCTCTGTCTTAAACTGGTGGGGAGCCAATATGCCACTGTCATCATTATGTATGCCCTGACTCTTGATGCTGCTGATGAAACCAAGGAGGAATTCTATGCCAACCTTGACTAAGTCTTTTTTCACATTCTGGAGGGAGACAGATTTATTTTTCTCAGTGATGTCAATGCCAGTCTAACATCTGGGATGCAAGAAAGGAGTCAAAAAGGTCAACTCCAGTGGCATCCTCCTCTTGACCAAATATGTGGAACGTGGACTTACCATCACCAACATCCTGATCTGCCAGAAAAACAGGTACAAGACATCGTGGCAACACTCATGATTTAATCATTGACACCTGATTGACTATGTCATTGTCTGTACTTGGGATCACAAAGATGTCTGCATCACCCAAGCTATGCTAGGAGCTGATGGCTGCTGGACTGATCACTGACTCATCCACTTAGTTATGTCACTCAAACTGGCTCCCAAACAATAGCTGCGGCAGAAGCAGTGCAGATGGAAGATCAGTGCTGAAGGACTCAAAGACCTAAGCAAGTGAGACCTCTTCCACCAGTGCCTCAACAAAAGACAGGCAAATTCCAATTAACAACAATGGGAGAATGGCAGCAGTGTTTGGGGTGCTCTCAAAGCCACTGTCATAAGCACCTGTGAAGAGATCATTGGATTGTCTACCAGAAACATCAAGACTGGTTTGATGAGAACAATCAGGAGATCCAAGAGTTGATTGATCACAAGTTCAAGGCCTTTTGTGCTTGGCAAAATTACACCGCCTCGGGGAGGAGCCACTGCCTGCCCTGTGCCACTCTCTCTCCCTGCAAGGATGCCGGCGTAGTGAGGATTGGAGCGCAGCTGAGCGGTAACTTACCACCAGCCTCAGTGCCTCTGCTGTGCTCCAGGCTTCTAGGAAGCTGCAGCCCAGCTCTTCTCTGGGCAGGTGCATGGTATTAAAAAGATAAAGTGTGGCAAAATATTTTTTTGTGTGTGCAGCCATGCACATGCACAGCTTAGAGGGAACCTTGCTTGGAAGCCATCTCTCATAGAAGGCTGACATTGATGAAAAAATCCAACACCACCTCAAATGTGCAAGTGTGGTCTTTGGATGCCTGAAGAAACAGGTGTTCAAAGATTGGGACATCAGATCTGAAACCAAGCTCAAGGTTTAACAAGCAATCGTGATCCCCACCTTGTTGTATGGAACTGAGACCTGGACAACATACAGGAGACATCTAAAGTTGTTGGAGAAGTAACATCAGTGCTGCCTGCGGAAGATCCTCTGAATCCAGTGGGAAGACAGACACACCAATGTTAGTGTTCTCCTGCAAGCAAATACCATGAGTATTACAACAATGATCATCTGTCATCAACTTCTTTGGGCTGGCCTTGTCTTTTGGATGTCTGACTCCAGACTCCTGAAGCAAGTTGTATTCTCCCAGCTCAGTCAAGGTATACACTCAAGAGAAGGGCAGAGAAAGTGCTTCAGGGATATCTTCAAGGCCAGCTTAGAAAAATGCAACATCTGTGTCAACTCGTGGTAGACTATTGCCCAGGATTGTCCCAAATGGAAGAAGAATCTGCTGCAGGGATCTCAGTACTTCGAAGCTTTATGACAATAACAGGAGATGGAGAAGTGGTAGCAGCAGAAACAACGTGTCACGGACCAAATCAAGAATCCAGTGCCACCCACCTCACACAGACACACGTCCAAGTTGCAGTAGAGTTTGTCTATCCCAGATAGGCCTCATCAGCCATCTTTGGACACACAGATAAGACAATCATGGAAGATAATCATCCTTGACTGCGAGGGATCCCCAAAAAATAGCTTTCTCTTTTGTCTTGAAGGTACCTTGTGTGTCTGCTCTGTTTTCATATGAGTATGCACAGGTAAAATGCCAGGTGAAATGAGGGATGGAGTGTTAGCAACTTCAGACAGCTGGGCACAATGGGCAGAGCACTGGGCTCTCTTCCCAGCTCAGCCATTGACTGATTGCTAGGTGGTAGTATCAGTGGGGAGTGAACCATTGCCTAGTTGTTTCTAAGTTTTTCTTAGTGTATAACAGGTATCTTCTAAAACACATTTAAAGAATAGAATCATTTTAGCACATGCCTGCTAAAAATTAAATGACTTGGTCAGCATAGGCCGTGACCCTGCAGTGTATGGCATGAGGTTAGTATTTGCTAATGTGCTCTAAGTTTTATGTTATAGGTCAGTGTAGGGCTAACCCTTTTGGCAGGCATGCCACAAATTATCACCCACCCTCTGCAAGTGCCATCCCAGTGCCTTTGCCTTACCTGATCTGCTGCTCTGCTCTCTACTCCCTCCCCTGTGCTTCATGCCCAATCTGCTCCTCTGCTTTCTGTTTCCTGCCCTATCTGCTGCTGGCCACCTGTCGCATCCCTGATCTGCCATGTGCCACACACAAAGGCTGCCAGTGTCACTCATAGCAGGTTGGCCACCCCGGTATAAGTTGTAGTTGTATTTGTGGCAGATTTCAGTTCTGTTTCTGCACTCAGCATTTACTCTTTTAAAAATGCATCTCCTAACAGCTGTAACAATTTAGGTCTGTTTACACAGAACAAATGAAAGCATACATAGCCTACCTTTTCAAAAGTGACTAGCAATCTTAAGTGACTAACTTGACCACTGTAAAGGGATTTGGTTTGCATGAAGTGTTGAGCCATGCTCCCAGCAAGTCGGGCCTTTATGACATGTCACAAGGTGAACACCCAATATTTCTAGTCATATTAGGAAATGTAAGGGGTGTGTACTTATGCTTCTAATTTATTTTCCTGTATCAATACTGCATACATAGTGCATGGTTTAGTATAGCATTTCAGGCTGTATCACATAAAATATTAAATGCAGAATCATTCCAGCTGGCTTGGAAAA